GAATTACGGTAGTTTGATTTATTTGGTCAGGCCAACACGACACTTCAGCGATACATTTCCGGAGGAGGATGCATTTCCGGTGCATTTCGGTTTCTAATAAGCGAAAATTAAAATTATAGGATTACTTAATATTTAAGTTTGATTGATACATTATATGGTCGACCGGAAGTTGAGGAGGTGACGATCGACATATCCGGTCGCGCGCTGGTATAGAGTTTCACTAGAGCAGTTGTGGCTTCCTAAATCACATCTAGCCTCCTCAGTATGTAAATACTTTAAGGTTGAAAGAAATGAGATAAGCTATTCGCAGCCATCCTCCCCTCTCTCTGTTTTTGTCTTCTCTCCTCTCCTTCTCTTATTCGTTCTTTATTCTCTTTCCTTCTCTCTTCTCCTCTCATTTCTTCTCTCTCCAAAGTCATAAAACTATTCATAATTTTAAAAACAATTACTTACTGTGAATCGTTACGCTGTCGGACTGCAATTTTTAATCATCTTTTAATTTGAAAAATCACTTTACTCCCGGTTTAGAGAGGAAGTTCTTATATAGTTAATGGGAACTTTGGTTCGTAATAATTCCACAGTTGATCTCAGTTATCATTTAAATCCATTACGGTACTAGGGGCCAATTTCCCACACCTAGTTTATCTTGCTTATTTAGTATCAGATTACTTTATAGTCAGGTAATAATTTCATGCAATTATTCAATTATAGAAAGCTGCGGTTGAATAGCTTCAAGAAGTAATAAGTCCAGTGTGTGAGAGCCGGACTTGAAATTTTTGAGAGAAAATTTTTTGTCTTTCGAAAGTTAAATTAGTTCAAATCCCAGTGAAAACAAAATATTTAATTTAATTACTGGAGGATAATCGCATCTCTCCTCCTGGAGTTATTTCTTTTCCCATGGGACTCATCGAATGTGTCAACGGAAAATAACTACAAATATTCACCAGTGGTCGAAAATAGTAACGTGGCTAAAAAGAGGGCATCGACATTCAAGGGATTGACATTAAAAGGATTGAATCGAGGACAAGAAGGTCGTCGGGAGTCCGAGAATTCGCCAACCTCCTCCTTTTTATGCGAGTGCTCCATCGCCGATCCCTTCGACCGCCCTTTCATTGGTCCCTTCAATCGCCGTTCGCCGTAGACACTTTAGCAACGACCATTTGATAGTGAACTGTACCATCGAGGAGCCTAACTCTACCCAACCTAGCTGAAATCTCTCCATCTGTCATCAGAAAGTTTTGCGACCTCAAGAATTCGATCGAGGACCGATCAAGATATTTAGCATCGCGCGTAATAATGCAAACTCTCTCTCTCGTCTAGGAACTCCATATCTACTAGTATAAAGTCCAATAGATTATGTTACGCTATATAACCCTTATCCGTTATATACCGCTATATAAAAGCTATAACGGAACTCTCTGTTATCACATATATACGTGTAAATAATTTACATAAATAAACGAGTATTATTTCTTTATAATTGAATAGCAGTGTGCACTTTCGTCCGCAGTGTCCGTCTCCATCCTGGACTTCATCGCACAAAACCGAAACAGCTAGATTGCTTGTAATCTGGCAGTCTACTTGTATTAGAAATAATAAAGGGCTATTAAGATGGTATTTTTAGTGTTGAACCTCCTTAATTAATAATAATAATCTCCATTGGACGAAAATTTACAAAAAAAAAAAAAATTATTATTTGTTTTAACGTTTTATTTTATTTGTGAAAACATTTTTTTAATTTAAATACTATCTTAACAAGAAATAAAATGTGAAATAAAAATAGAAATAAAAATTTTTTCAACAAAAAAAAATATCGTCTGGTTACAAAATAGCGAAACTGAGCATGCGCGAAGTGACAGTATCGTCTGGCAAAGTAAATACGAGTAAGTTCAAACTTTTATATTTATTTATTCGGAAAATAATAATAAATGTAGCCGCTGTGATAAATAGGCACACTGTTTTTGCGTTAATATTGAAGAAAATATAGTTTTGTGAAGAAACGTACATAAAAATAACATAAAATAGTCTTTACTTTTTAAATATTAAAACAATCCACCTAGTTAAAATTGCTTCCTACCAGTGGCTCGTGGATGGAATCAGAGACGGTCTTGGTAGGTGTGCGGTGCGTGCATGCTTGCCAAATCCCCAGGGGTGCCAATACCGGTCAATGTCAAATACCTCTTTTGTCGCATCACTAGAATATCTCAAAGGATGCGACAGAGCTGTTGTAGATTTTAAATGTTTCTCTCCATAGCTGTAAAAATCTAAATATGTTAAACTTAATAGTCATTTCTTTTCTAACTAATTCGTTTTAGGACCGAGTGTCCTCAGAAATTTCCAAAATTTACAATTTTTCGGTCACTCTCGTTGAACTGGAAAAATGTCTGTCTTTATTACATCTAATATTTCGAAGAAATCAGTCCCACTGTACTCGGCTAGAGATTGGTTGGGTTAGGCTTTTGTTTTAAGTAAAATTCCGGCTCTTTCATCAGGGTTTTGTTTACGTCCCCAATTCCCTAATCGCTTAATTATTTAACTACTTCTTAAGTAGAAATAAGTCGAAACCGGTTACTTTGTACTCGAATATTTGTAGTCTTGGGAAAAAAGTGGAAAGACAAATTTTTATGACAAACAAATACATACATCGTAAATTTAAGGAAAAGAAATTATAGAGCTTTTTCTGTACCTCGTGCATCTCTCTCATTCATTAAATTTAATTGTATATGACGCTACCAAAGTAACAGTTAATTTTTTAATATTGTACAAGAATTGTACATGTTTTTCTCTGCATCCCCTTACGGATGGGGCAGACGAAAATCGTAGTGTCACTGGTTTAACATCGAAATCCGTAAGTACTGTAATATAAAATCGGAGAGCGAAATAAAAATATCAAATATTTTAATGGAATTTTTTAAACTCCTGTCAACTATACAGAACTATCGTAAAAGCATAACAGTAAATTCTTATCGGTTGGGTTAAGTTATAAATCTACTCGCGAATCACGTAATCGGGCGAGGGCGGCCAAATATCTAGCGGGCGGGCGGGCGGCTAACAGCTCGGAACCAGTCCCGGATGGAATTGGATGAGTTATACGTGTATTTGAAAAGTTAAATATTTGTAGTCGGATCGGAGCAGTCGGTGAGCTACAGCCAATGAGAGCTTCGAAGCTATAACCAATCAGAGTTTAGCTTTATCCAATCTACGTCGAAGTCAGAAAATGGCGGAAAGTATCGATTTCTCGGAGTGTTTAAATTATTTAATAAACGAAGTCAGAACATATCCGTGGCTTTATGATATTCAGCGAGCCGAATAATAACGACAACATAAAAAAAAATAATTCTTGGAGGGAGATTTCCAAGAAACTAAACGTTGAAGGTACGTGATTGACTAATCTAATAATGACGCGATATATCTAATAAGTTATCACAGATTTGTTTTAAATATATCCTCTTACTTGACAATATTAAGAAATTAATGTTTGATTCTACAGTTTTTAGTAATTAAAAATTTAATAATCCCACAATAGATATCATCATACAGAGTATGGTAAAAATTAGTTTTAGGAAATATAATTTTACATCATTTGTCTAGTGTATCTGCTAATTAAAACGGTACATTTGTTTAATAGAATAGATAAATATACATTGAAACATTTATATATGAAATAACATTCTTCATATCCTGTCATTTATTCAGAGAATAACTTGTTCACTGAATTTTTCTTTTTTTTTTTGGGTGAAAAAATTACAACAAAAATTTACAGAGTTTATTTGATTAGATAGCTTTACTCAGTATGACTTCTATAAGCATTTAAAATATAAATTGATATATTTTAACTATTTGCATAGTACATGTTCACAGCATTTATCTTAAAAATTTTAAATGTATATTTTACTTTACATTTTCTTTATTTGAGTCTTCTATAAAATTTAGAGTATAACACATTTGAAATGTCCTGCCCAGNTAGCTTTACTCAGTATGACTCCTATAAGCATTTAAAACAAATTGATATATTTTAACTATTTGCATAGTACATGTTCACAGCATTTATCTTAAAAATTTTAAATGTATATTTTACTTTACATTTTCTTTATTTGAGTCTTCTATAAAATTTAGAGTATAACACATTTGAAATGTCCTGCCCAGATACCATTTTAACCATAGAAAACAATGACATAGATCAGTGTTTCTTAACCTCTAACGAATCGTCGCCCCCTACAGTAAAACCGTTACGTAGTATCGCCCCCTTCGCTACAAAATTCCGATGCCGAGGGGCGAGGCTAACGCCAAATTCGTACCGCATCGAATAGACTAGTGACTAGTATAATGTTATTTGTTTAATTGTTGTACGATATAACGAATAAAATATCTAATTATTCTTAATATAATGTTTTACTATATTGCCCAGAAAATTGTTTTTTCGCCCCCCAAAATATAAATTGTTACTAATCGCCCCCTGAACATGGAAAAACGCCCACAGGGGGCGATATCGCCCCCATTGAGAAACACTGACATAGATGATTGCTTAAATACTTCCACTTTAAGTTTAAGTGGCTTAAGTAAGTAAATATAATGTAAAAAATGATAAAATATGATATATCCACCTGAAATTACAATTTAACAAAAAGAAAAGAAAAAATGATGGGAAGAAGGAATTATTCGAACTACTTAAAACTACAAATACTTCCATAGTGGACACTAAACATGATAATGATTACAAATATACGAGCTCTAAGACGGCTTTTCTTTTTCACTAGACTTATTACACCATCAATGAAATGGAAAACAAACTTTAGAAAAATTTTTTATTTATTTGAGAATGAATTTCGGATAATTCTATCCCTTTTCAACTCGTGTTACAACTATGCAGGAAAAATTAGCATAACGGGTACAAATTAGTAAAAAATTTTCTTAGAGCTCGTATATTTGTACACAAGACTAGACAAGAAGCATATCGCATAATGATAATGATTATTATTATTTCATGTCACTGTCAGAACGTTAATGCGAAATAAAATGTAAAAAAAATAATAATAATTTACGGAAAAAAAATTGAAGAAGCCTTTGAAGAAGCAGAGGAATTGGAATAAAAATGTTTATTTTTATATGTAAATAAAATTTTATTTTTACAGTTTTTTAATAGATTAATTTATTTACACAATTCTGGAGTTGATCCTCTTGTCACAACTTCATTCTGCCAAGGAAGTCAACCTTGTTCACTCATAAAAAAGTCTTGATATAATTTGCAAACTTTCTACGCATCACTACCACTATTTTTTAAAATACAGTAGCATGTAGTAATGTCTGTCATTGCTTCGTTTGTTTCTGTTTCATTATGCCACTGACCAGGATTTATTTCACCATTAAATCCTTTGGAATCCACATAATTACTGGTGCAATAAGCGCCTTCCTGGGACAGACATCTTATATCATATGTCCTGAGGTAATTATGTAGGCATACTGTTGCCTTCACAAATTTTATAACGTTTTCAGGATTAGCATTAATAATATTTTTATATATGCACTACCTGGCTGCTAATATCCCAAATGTATTTTCATTAATTCATCTTGCACAAGACATGCGATAATTGAAGACTGCCCGTTCAAGAGGTAGATTCTTACCAGGGTAAGGACGTAATAAATTTGGAAGGAGAGGAAAGGCCTCATCCCCACAAAACAATATGGAACATTAACATTTGACCCTGCCAATTTCTCATCTGCAGGAAAATCCAATTTTTTTTTGTTTGATTAATTTTCCAAATACAGTACAGAATTACTAAACACCTCTCCATCACTACAGATACCGGGTGCACCTAACTCAACTATTGTAAATCTGTATTCAGCATCACACGCAGCCATTAAAATAATGCTATTCGTACCCTTGTAATTATGATAGACGGTACCAGAATGTTTTGGTCGCTGAATAACAACATGTTTACTGTCTATTGCTCCTAAGCATTGGGGGAAGTTGGAATACATATTAAATTTTTTGCTGATTTCTACAATATTTTCTTTATCAGGAATCTGAAATAATATAATTGTTAAATTTGAAATGATATATTCTTTAAAAATTCATGAAAAGTATAATGTTTACCTTAAAATATTCACTAGAAAGCACAGTCCATATTGCATCACATACTCGTTTCACTATATTATGTGTTGTTGAAACACCAATGCAATAATTTAATGCACATATTTGTTGTTCTCCTCCATGTGCAAGAAATCTCTTTTGTTAACCAAGAAAAAATTGAATTAATAAAAAGTTACAAAAAGTAGACTACTATTTAAAATTAATATGCAGTTCAATCAACCTGAAGAATTTATGATGATAATGTGTATAAGGAAAATCTGAAATACTATTTTCCTTACAGGCAACCTTATCTAGAATCTTAAAGATTAAGATTTTTCAGATTAACTGGTTAATTCAATTGTAATTATTTGCAATGTAATATACAAAAATTGCACTAACCAGTATTATTTGTAAGATCTAATCCACCTGACTTATTTTTTAAGCATGTTAAATAAAAATTATTGTTAAAGAAATATGTTATATTTATTTTAGCAAAATAAATTGTAACAAATACAAATACTTTGTTTTGGAATTATATAGATATTAAAACTTGATTGTAAAGTCTTGATACAAACCTTAATGTCAGTGCAAGTTGTTCAGCAGGTGATATGCTTTTCCTATAAGTTGTATTTTTACATATAATTAGCAGGCCAATTTTGCTCAACAATTCATCAAATCTAAAAATACAAATAAATATTATTGAAAGTCATTCATAAATTCAATTTTCATCTGTTATGTAATTTTGACATTACAAAATTTAATTTTTTGTGAAAATTTTTAGACATTCATCTGAAAGAATAAGAATTTCTATAGTTTTTTTCTAATGGAAACTTTATCTGGCTTGCATGAAATGTGTTTTAATTAAATACATTATAATAGTGTTTCTCAATTTTGAAGTGTATTGTTTTGGTATATAAATTATTTTAGGAGTGCAATGTAAAAAAAAAAAACAAAATTTTAACATTACAAAAACATTCTTCAATAGTTTATGCAAATGAACTAACATTTATAAAAATGCTATATTATAGAACTAACTAAATCATTTAGCAAAATATTCTGAGTTAGTAGAATTATTCAATCTTTACATTTGAGTAGTTAGTGTATAATCTGAGATACGAGTTTATATACAAACGATTTATTAGATTAAAATAAGATTGAAATAAATAATAAATAAAACATACTTTTCTGCGCTCATCCTGAAATTCATATAGTATCCCGATTATCATATATCCAATGCAGATATATGATAATCGGTATATATGATATATATTTGCTGTACAAGACTTCTATATTCACCCTTTCCTCTCGCTCCAATAAAATAGGACAAACTCAATGCTTTCTTTTCATGCTGAACTTCTTACATGTCAGCAAAATTGTTGCACTTCTCTTTATTTCTGTCATAAAGTGTTTGACACCTTTGACATCATTATTAATGATGCACTTGTTTAAGCTTATTAAAAGCATTACGTACTTTTTTCTCGCAAATTTTAAAAATTTGCTATCAAAACATTTATCAAAGAGGTTCGTTAACTGTCTATGACCTCTGTGCTGTTTATAAAACATTGCAATAGATATTGTTGTCAAAGATATGGCCTGACGATAAATTGTAGCGTATTCAGAACTACAATTTCTGGATACAAATGAAATATGTTTTAAAACAATTTGAAATGCACGATCGCTTTCCTTGACGGCCATGTTTTCTGTTTACATTGAAAAACTTACTATGATTGGCTAGTGTATTAATCTGTAACATGCGTTCCGATTGGTCCTTACGAGTCGGCCAATGACATATAATCATACTCAGTGTGAATGCTTCTATTACTAGTCGGTCCGATTATAGGATCGATCGGGTCGGACTAATCGGTCCAGTCAGTCATAGTGAACAACTATGTAAAACACATAACAGAGTCACTGAAGCTGGCAGCAAAGCTATCATCAAAAATAAACGCAAGTAACCCCAATAAGACCCATTGGTGGACAAGCTCATTAGAAAACCAAAAAAGAAAAGTTAGAAAAGCCCGCAAAAAATGGACTAGGAACCAGAATCCCAACTTGACAGGGACCCTGAGGAAAGAATNTAACCCCAATAAGACCCATTGGTGGACAAGCTCATTAGAAAACCAAAAAAGAAAAGTTAGAAAAGCCCGCAAAAAATGGACTAGGAACCAGAATCCCAACTTGACAGGGACCCTGAGGAAAGAATATAATGAGGAATTAAAGAGTTACAAGCAAAATATAAACAAAACTAGGAGCGCATCTTGGTGCAAATACTGTGGGGAACACTTGAAAGACCCTTGAAGACAACCCTACAAAGTGGCCTTCAAGAAAAATGCGAGGGCTACAATCCCGAATATCACCAACAGTAACACCACTAACAATAACTATGACATAGAAGAAAACATTAAAAATCTTTTGGACTACCACTTCCCAGAGGACAATACAGAAGAAGACAACGACTATCACCAAAAAAGGATCACCTGAATTCTGAGCAAGACTACTACCCTAATAGTCTTCTTCCGGTATTGGGCAAAGTCCTCGATGGCCTTATGATAAACCAGATCAATTGGCATCTGGTAAGCCATAAACTTCAGAATAAAAATCAATATGGGTTTCGGCCTGGTAGTTCAACGACCATGGCAATTCACAAAGCCACCCGTTTCATTGAGGAAGCCTGGGACAAAGACCAGCACGCCTTGCTGGTAAGCATAGATTTTAAAAAGGCTTTTGACCACCTATGGTGGCTGTCTATCACGAATAGCCTGAGGACCTATGGATGTCCGAAGAATATATACGACCTACTAAATAGTTATCTGAAGGACAGAACGGCTGGCTTCTTCACGGGAAGAATGAACATCATTAAACAAGTGAACAGAGGATGCCCCCAAGGCTCCCGTAGCGGTCCCGGGCTTTGGAATCTGACTTATGATAACCTCCTGGACACAATTCAAAGTACAGACAATATAATGATACAAGGCTTCGCAGACGACACTCTTCTAATGATTAGACACCAAAATTGTAATACACTACGAATGAAAAGTAACGAGATCCTAGAAAAAATACACAAATGGAGTCAAAGCCACAAGCTCCCCATAAATTTCAAGAAGTGCGAAGCCCTAGTCTGCACAAAAAGATCAAAAAGGAAGCAATTACAAAGGCCACTCTATATATACATGAATGGACATAGAATAAAGATAACCTCCCACCTAAAGTACCTGGGTGCTATCCTCAATCCAACCCTGAGTTAGAAGCAACATATAGAGGAAATTTGCAAGAAGGCAAAACAAAGAGTGAATATGCTATATTATATAGCCAGAAACATGTGGGGACTAGGCGCAAAAAGCTACACTACCATTTATAAAGGAGCCATTGAGCCTGCTCTACTATACACGGCTGAAATTTGGGGGAAAGGGCTTCCCTGGTACAAAACAAACGGCATCTCCTCTCGGTCCAGAGGAGCTTAGCCATCCGGATTTGCAGGGCGTATAGGACTGCACCAATGGACGCACTGCTTGTAATCGCCAACATCATGCCTATTCATATAAAGATTAAAGGGATCTTCTGGAAATGGAATATTTTGAAAAACAACATAGAAAGGCTTACAGAGGAAAGTCTAAAAACCGCTATCCAAAAAGATGAATACCCAGGAAACAGCCTAGATCTATTATTGGATATAAAGAAGCATGGAATCAATAAATATTACCCAGGGCAAGGAATCCTCTACCATCCGGCGATAAACACAACTAACTGGGAAAGTAATAGCATAGATCCGAACAGCGGGGATTACAACTGGCATGTGTATGCTGATGGAGCGAAGAACAGGGATGGCACGGGGGCAGCATTCGTTGTATACGATGCTAGCAAGGGCAATACCATCCATGAAGAATACTACAAGCTTCTAAATCACTGCTCAAATAACCAGGCGGAGCTCTGGGCCATGAACAAGGCCCTCAAGAACATCACTAATAACTTGAACAATTATAAAGGAAGCATAAACTTTTACACGGACAGCCGCTACGTCATCAATACGCTAAAAGAAAGCTATAGGCATCTTAACATTGGACTCAAAACCAAGTTCTTGGCTAATAACCTGAGCTAAAGAAGAAAAATCAGTTTCACATGGATACCAGGACATAGCAATGTTAAAGGAAACGATAGAGCCGATGAGCTAGCGGTGAAAGCCACCAAACTAAATCTTACTCCAACCTACCACTGTTACCCCATTTCCCATATTCACAAAATCGTCAATGAAAAATGCATAAACATTTGGCAAACAGAATGGGACTCCTCAACAACAGGCAGAATAACTTACAAGTTCTTCCCGAATATTAAGGAAAGGCACAAGCTTCATCATGTTAATCCCTCTTATCCGCTCACCCAATGCTTGACCGGCCATGGGAACTTTCCTGCTTTTCTGTACAGAATTGGAAAAAAGGACAACCCTTGCTGCGAGTGTTAACACTACAACCGAAGGGAACACCCTACACTACCTCTTCGACTGCCCAGACCAAGACGCCAACAGAGGTGAACTTATTACGTACTGCCTACACCACGGACAATCATGGCCACCTGAGCCGGACTTCTTGTGCAAGACCAAAGAGACATATAGGCACTTCGTTAAGTTCGTCGAAAGCTGCACTAACCTCGTTCACCCCAATTAACGGACTCGTCTGGTCATGTGGACTCTCAAGGACGACGATTCATCAGCACATGTAATAGGGCATCTGCATCATCTTAACTACGTATAAGTATTCCTATGTATGCACTACACTAATTGTCCTGTTTCTACTCACCTCTATTATCTAGCACCTTACCCAAAGGGCTACACTGTCTTGTACATATTTTATATTCTTTTATCAATTAGTGCGATGAGTGAAGTGAATGGGACCCACTTTACTCTTCCTTCAACCCTTTCTCCCTCCCACTCCCTCTCCCTTCTCTCCCCCACTCCATACCTTCCTTCCTCTTGTGGCTAAGTCTACGGACAGCCCTCTACCTTTATTCCAGTTCCAGTCAGTGTGAAACAGCCCTTAGGCTTCCACTGGCTAAAGTTGGTGCCCTGTAAAGCGCATGCGCGAATCTGGCTTTTTGGATGCTGACAATACAGCATTTCCACTCCGCTACTCCACCACTAATATTCGAATATACAATAACAATCTTATCTTTTTTTTTCATATGTAGTATAGAAATTTGTAATAAGATACATAATGCGGTTATAATAAAATATTGTGTGATTATTTTCATATAATTAAAATTAATATGTATTTATTTTTTAGAAAATACAAAGGAAGCGGCGCATCCACCGTTTCCAATGACGGATTTATTGAACTCCATATCGAAAATAAAAGACAAGCACAATTAATTAACCACGTTCAATAATATTAGGTTGTGGCCGACGTTTTCAATGCAAAAACGTGTACGTCAGACATTCAGCGCCGCTTTCCTAAAGGCCTAGAAGTTTGGCAATGGTGTTTGGGACGTCGAGCATGATTGCACTGACTATCCAAACACCATTGTCAAACTTCTAGGCTTATAGGAAAACAACACTGAACATCCGACATACACGTTTTCGCGTTGAAAATGTCGGCTGCAACCTCTATTAAAAGAAAAATGCAATATCTTTACTACATTATTGCATTTCAATAATATCTATATAACATCTGTAGGTGCAATGGTAAGTAAAATCTTTCATTTATTTGCATATTATACTGTACTTTATTTATCAAACACACAAAAGTCTTGCTTTTCTATATGTGCAATATGCTCCAGGTGATAAAGTTGGCTTGACGTAGATCGACCGCGCAGCTCTGGAAGCAGCTCACTTAATATGCCAAGACGTCCTATCTGTTAACAAAGGCGTTTGAAGTGGACTGGCCCGATTTGAGCCTTAACAGGGGTGAGGAAATTGAGCCAGAGGGACTTAAGCCTGCCGTCAAGCATGGTACAGGTTGACAATACTAATCAATCATCGCTTGTCTAACACTGCATGCGTAACGTCGGCCGTTTTTATTTTAAAATTGTAAATTTGCCGCCACTGATTATCAGAAATTATGAGTCTATCTTTTATTTTCATATTTTTCTTCCTTTATAATGTTTTATTTACTTTATTTTCCTGTAATTAGAGACAACACAGCTTTAAAATAAACAGATCAGGTCTCATTTGCCAATAGATTATCTCAACTTTCACCGATTGTTGTCGGTTCCTTTCTAATCTGATAGGAATAGATTGTGTTTCAAACTCCAGTGTTAAGTGCTTATTGCTTTTGAGGTAATATGAGTAGAGCAGGAGAAGTCAATGCATTTCTGTAATAAACTGCTAAATGTTTTATTACCATTTAAACAACTGCTTCCCACTTGTTATTCTTAGTAATCGGAGAGGGGTTGATCATGTGTCAAGGTCAGTAAAAGTTTATTACTTTCGCAACAGGGAGTGATGTGAACTGCCACCTTTAGAATGTACCTTTAGTAAAAGAGATTAGAGGGCTGTCTGATTTTTAGCTTCGGACTTAGCCCTGTGGAAGTAGGAAAGAAGAGAAAGCATGAGATACGAAGTGTGAAAAGAAAATGAGATAGGAAAGTGTGAAGTAAGAGATGGGTACTCGGAGCACCTGTCCCGGCATTTATTGAAAAGAACAAAATAATATTTACAATATGTACAGTATGGCTATCTGCCATATAGAAACAGGTTGATTACAAATGGTCCTGACAATTTTTAAACATAGTAATAAATAGTATACAGGATAAGTTAATATAGTACATAATTATAATATTCCAAATAAATTGTCCACATCTCGTGGACTCTATACATTTGGATTATAGTATGTCTACTTGTTATGTGAAAACGTTTTAATTACAATTGGTCCTGACAATTTTTATAGTAGTTTTTAGTATATAGGATAAGTTAATATGATACATAATTATAATTCCAAATATTGTCCGCATCTCGTGGATTCAATTAATTTGGATTACAATAAGTTTACTTATGTTATAGCCGTAAATTATTTCTATAGTTAGATAACAAATACCAATGATACCTATGTTTAATGCTGCACTTGAGCATCATCACAGTGAGTAAAGTTTATTCGTCGTCTCTGTTGGATGTATTTTCGGTGTTGTCACTTTCTTCTCCTTCTTGGTCACTTTCTTTTTCAATTTCAATTTCATCGCTTTCTTTTCTGTCGTGGTTTTCTTGTGTTGTTTATTTCAATGAAAATTTTTGTATTGTTGATGTACTTCTCTAATGCGGTGAATAAAGTTTTGTTGTTCACATGGTCTGTTTCTTTAGGTGGCCAATTGAAGCCTGCCATGAGGCACTTTTGTATAAAGTTCTCTCTTTGTTGAATTTGGTGCACTCAAATAAGTAGTGAAATACATTTTCTTCTTGGCTGGTATCCCCTTCACAATATTGGTTGTTGATTTTTTGAAAACAGTACAAGTAAGACTTGAAGTTTCTATGTGCTGTTAGACACTGAGTCACACCAAATGATAGCTTAAAGTGTTTATTTTGAAATCTGTCTTTTGTTTGGAAAAAATTTGTGGCAATGTCTTCCTGTAGATGATGTATTCCACTCTTCTTGCCATAGTTCTTCTGTAATGTTTTTTATATTATTTTTTATTTCTGTTATTGGTATTCTTTCGTAGGTTATTGGAATGTTGATACTGGCAGCTCTTTTAACCAGTGTGTCGGCTTTTTCGCTCCATTGATGTCCTGTATGATCTGGAACCCAGTTGTAAGTGATTTTAATTTTTTTGTTAACTTCTTCGGAGATGTTGATGAGTTCATCTGTGAGCCTGTTTTTTCTATTCTTGTTTTCCAGGATATGTAGTGTTGCTCTACTGTCAGTGTAAATATTCAATTGTTTGTTTGGACGATTGTTCCTTTTATTGATGCATGTGAGAGCTTCATAAACCACATACATTTCTGCTTGCATCGTAGTGCAATAGTTTGCAATTTTCATAGAAGCCTGGCATTGAGTTCTATTGTTTTCATTTATGATGATTATTCCGCTGCCTACACCTGATGGTGTTTTCGAACTGTCAGTATATATTTTAAAACTCTTTTGTTTCGTGGCATTCTCTTGTTTATCCATATGAACTCTATATGTTTCTATATCTGCTGGGTCACAGTGTTTTTGATTTATCTATATTTTCTGTTTCGTTTTCTATAATGTCTTCTATCATCTTTATGTCGTTTGGAAGTTTTCCTTCGTTAATTTCTTTGTTTATTTCTTCTTTGGTTTTTCTTTGTAAACTTTCTTTTATTAGATTTTTTTCCCAGATGAGATTTTTTTCCCAGATGAGATCTTTTGCTATCCAATTTATGGGTTTCAGTTTCACTAGTACTAACAGAGCATCCGTTGGGGTTGTTCTATATGCTTTGCAGATTCTTATTGCTGCCTTTCTTTGGATTGAGATGAGTTTTCTTTTGTTGTGTATTTTATCTATCGTTTCTCCCCAAATTTGTACTCCATATAGTGCTGCCAGCTCGATAGCCTCTTTGTAGATCAGTCTTGTGTTTTTCGAACTCATACCCCAAGTATTTCTAGTTATATGTTCTAATAAGTTAGAAGAAACATACAAAAAAAGTGATAAAACTTGCTATGTGTATTTTCCAATTCATTTGTCTATCAAAATATATTCCAAGGTATTTGATATAAGAAACATTTTTTATATTTTTACCACCAATTTTTATTCCTATGGGTTTCTTCAGTTGATTTTATTTTTTTGGGTACATACTACCACCTCGCATTTGTTAAAGTTGATAGGTTGTTTATAATTAATACTCCATTCATAAATTTCTTTAAGTATCTTATTTGCTTTGTCTCCGAGTCTATTACAGTTTTGGTTTGATATCATGAGAAGTGTGACATCCGCAAATGCTTGGATTCTACTGTCGTCGGTGTCTGGAATTTTGTTTAGTAAACTGTCCATTGCTAAATTCCATAGTCCTGGCCCACTTCTGTACCTTTGTGGACATCCTCTATTTATTTGTTTGATGACAGTTGTGCAGTTGGAGTAGAATCCTACTTGTCGATTAGTTAAATAATCTTGGAGAATATCTTTGATGTTCTTTGGACACTTAATTTCATATATACGTTTCATTATTCCTGGCCGCCACGTGGTCAAATGCCTTTTGAAAATCTATTTTTATTAAGATTGCATGTTTTCCTTTCCCCCATGCTGTATTTACAAATTCTTTCGTTCTTAATGCTGCATCTATTGTTGATACTCTCTGTCTAAAGTAGGGGGTCCCCAAACATTTTATCCCATCGACCCCTTTATAGAATATTTGCCTTCTTATCGACCCCCAGATTAAGTATTTAACAAAAACATTAAATCGTTTTTGCATTTTTAATGTTAAGCGATAAGGAGACTCGCATAGCAACCCAACAAAAGAATTTATAGTTCCCATATTTTATAAAATCCTCCTAATAACATTAACAGAAAAAGGAGATATTTTCCACTGATTTATAATCTTAAAAAAATAATAGCAAAATTATAAATAGATGAAAATTTGCCTATAGTTCTTAAACCGTACGTGTCATAATATGTAAAATACATACAGTAAAACCTCTATTATCCAGACTAATTGGGGATGAAGGTAGTCCGGATAAGGAAAAATCCGGATAATCGAAACAAATACTTTAATTTGTCTTTTAATAATAATACAACACGTTTTCTTTTCGATGACATATCGGTAATATTAAAAGTAAATACTGTATTTAAATCGTGATCAAATTTTCAAGAAACAAACGTTCGTATTGAATTTGGACTACTACTGACCAACGCTAACAGACTACCTATTGTTTAAAAGGCCCTCTGGTGGCGCAAGAAGACGGATTTTATAAAATAAAAAGCAGTTGAAACTGCATTTTTATGAATAAAAATTTGACAAACTATTTATCGTTTTATGACGAGTAAAATTTTTTCGTCGCGTTCGCGGCTTTTAAGTAATGCATAAACCTTCGAGGCGCGAGGCCCTTCGGACCGCGAGGCATAGGCGGTGGCCCACGTCGTCCATGCCTTACGCCGCCCTTGGTCATAGAAATGATGTAATTTGAATATAAATTATTTATAAATACGTATGTCAAGTTATATTTTTATTACTACGTAAAATATATTTAAGAGTTTACGACCACTGTGCCGGGTGAGACGTTGTTGAAACAAAAAAAGTTATGCATTCCATCACGTACATAAACAGTGTCGTAATTCGCCAAGTGCAAATCAGCAAATTCGTAAAATTTTTGTTTATTTTGAACAATCCGGATAATCGAAAATCCGGATAATGGAGGTCCGGATAATGGAGGTCCGGATAATGGAGGTTCTACTGTACTTATCTTTGAAAACATAACATTAGTTATATTGGATGAAAAAATCTTTTACTGTCATTTTGCGACTACTACTGAATGCCTTAAAAATATGTATACATGCCTTTTTATTAAAATAGTTGATATCAGTGGGATGGATGTCTCTGAAGAGAAGCAGCGAGATTATTGATATTCGGTTGAAAATTGGTAAGTTTTAGTCGCAAAACACCACGGTTTTCCAAGTTCAATCTGTTCCTCTATTTTGTCAAAATTGTGTTCGCGTGGCTAAAACCAGCTCCAACCGCATATGAAGTTGGAAATGCGAGTAAGAAAGGTTCGGCCTCTGCTATGAGCTTGGGATATTTACTGGGAATATTGTTATTGCTCCAAAATTCACCGAGGTTTTTATTTTTAAACAACACTTTAGCTTCGAGATCTATACATATTTCACTCAATTCATCTTCTAAGCCAGTTTCACTACCTTCATTATCTATTTTTACATCAAATGGTTTAGCAAACCATTCGGAAACATGCATATTCTCCAATTCTTCGAAACGTGCTTTAAACTCTTCTCTTAATTTATCAAGATGTTTAATATATATCTCCAAATCACGGTCGGAAACCTTTTCATTTTCTTTTAGTACTTGCAAGTTTGAAAAATATTTAAAATCATATCGTGCCAGTGAAGATTTAAATAGCTCCATTTTTACATGAAAGGCCATTATTTATGATTGTTCGAGCTTGAACAATTGTAACTTTTTTCCTTGCAAACGCTTCTATACTACATTAATTAATGATTTTCGATATATTATGATATTTTCTCTGTAAAGGACAAAATATCTGCATTTAGATATAAAATACTTAGAGTGACAATCCTAATGTAACAGTGCAGCATATGTCTGTGTACAATGAATCTGAGTGTAACAGTGCAATGGATGTCTGTGTACAATGAACCCGAGTGTAACAGTGCAACATATGTCTGTGTACAATGAACTACCAGCGTTCATAACATGTTTGCAACACTAGTACAGTTGCCAGATGCATGAAAACAGAGTAACACATGCTTAAAGCGGTGTAGGCTAAGGCAAAACTTAAGTTATAACTAGGGTTGTCAGTAATGTTGTTGATCATATCTGTATTTCGAATTTTTATTGGAATATTTTATTTTTTTCCTAGACAATTTAATTGATCCTCTTTGGTATTAATCGACCCCCTTTCGATCGACCTTCGTGCATTAATCGACCCCTGGAGAACTCTTTTCGACCCCAAGGGGTCGATATCGACCACTTTGCGGACCCCTAGTCTAAAGCCATATTGGTTTTCATTTATTTGTTTATTGATGCCAGATAATTCTTTTAATAATGAGTCCATCTAAAGGCGGCTATACACGATGGGTTAATCCTCAAAGGAGTAACCATGCATGCCTGATTTTGAGTAATTCCTGGAAGTGTGTGGGGGAAAATTTAACAGTTTCGGCGAACTATACCGACCACCTGAGTAGAATCGCCCATACTCATTAGGTTAATTCTCAAAGGATTAACCATGCATGCCTGACCTTTATAATTCCTAGTAGTACCTATATAACCTAATCCGAGACAGAGACTTGGCAAATGCTATTCAGACCTTCGCGAGAAGGGTTCTTATGTGAAGGTGTGGAGAGATGACTTTTCTCTCCACCCACCAGCTTTACTGTACAAGAGTGACAAGAACACGTCATTTTGTTTTAATGTTAATTTAATTTTACTGTAGTTTGTTTATTGTAAATAAGAATTTATACTGGTTTAAGTTCTTCAAAGAAACAAATGTTCGCCTCAGAACGAAATTTCAACACAGGTTCCATAGCCACAATGGAGAAAATAACCAATAAATATGGGCTGGCCTGTAAAAACCGTAAAAAAGACACTAAACTAGTGCACGTTTAAGCCAAAACAAACGTGAAGTCAGAGGTGCCAAGTTACGTAAACCACTAACAAATGTTTGCAGTTCTTCCATAATCTTAAATCAGCACAAATTCATTGAAATTGCCGTTCGCGGCAAATGTTGGTCCGGTTACCACGGCAACTGGACAGTTGTTATGGCAATGGCTGCTAGACCGTTCAACTTTGTGATAAAATTCTTTAAAAGTTTATATTGCTTTAGATCAAAAACTGTTGACACTGTACTACTGAAATTTTGGCACAGCTATGCTGAATAACTCTTCTTAATGATGAATATTAAAAATTTGGTTAGCACCAAAAAATAGGCCCTATGCAGCCCTCCACAGCCCGCATAGGGTAGCCCTAAAAATCACAAAATATCGGTTTCAGGACTCAATAACAAATTCACACAGTACTCACTGTCTGTTCTAGCAAGAGATGTCCCCTTCACTTCCGTTGGAGCGGCCACTGAATTCCGGATAACCGGTCCCCAATAATCCGCGAGTTCAAACGTTCACAGCTCTCGAAATATTTGAGCCACACTCATAAAGATGACGTCACTTTCATCCTTACACTTTGGCAAATCCAACAATATATAACGTATCCACTATGACAAGAAATCCAGTGTAAAACACACGAAAATCCAGAGCGCCCGCACACCGCGGAGAACTATAATTAAAGCAATTAAACTTATTGGAATCCATATATAAATACGACGACTGGGGAAAGGGAAGTAATGAAAAGATGTGCTTCTTTTTAATGCTTCTCGCAGTCAGCATGCTTCGCTGATGCTGTAATTCTATCGTATTTAAAACTGAATAAGGTTCGGCAAATGATGCAACGAGCCGATCGAATATCATCGTCATTACAATTTAACAAGTTTTGAATTTATTCACTCAAGACAGTGTCCCTATATGCACAATTCGTGGAAAAAAGAATCAGATTAATGCCTAGTCTGATTTATCTTGAAAACGCAATTTTTTAAACTCAAAACAGCAGTAAATTATTTATTGAAATCCATATCGAAAATAAAAGACATGCAAAATTAATCATGTTCAATAATATTAAAAGAAACAATAACGCTACTACATTATTGCATTTCAACAATAAAATCTTTTGGCAATGGTAAGCAAAATCTTTCAATCTTTCATTTATCAAATCTTTCGGTTTGCTTCTATTAGTTGGCGGTCTACCACGTTTTATTGGTGAACGTTGCATACTTATTAATTAATAATTTTCTATTCAGAATTCAGAATAACACACAAATATCGGTGCAGTCACGGGCATCCAGCACTTGATTATCCAGCATTCTGGATTATCAAGTGCTGGATTAATTGACTTTTACTGTATTATATTCTTATTTATTTAATAGGAATCAAATAACCTATACAAATACATATGTCAAACATGTGGAAAAAAATTTAGATATAAATCTAAATTTGATGACCATCAATTATGCCATTCCGAGGAAAGAACCTTCAAATGCAAATTCTGTACAAAAGCATTTAAACATTTATGTACTTTAAAAAAACATATCAAAGATAAACATCTTCAAGAATTGGTACAAAATACTATTAGATAATTAAAATATAAAAAATTTTATTAAATACTATATTAAAGTTTATAAAATTATTAATTTTTTTTTCGTTATAAAATTTATAAATTTGAGAAGTTCGACTACTTTGCAATACTTGGCTGCTTTACAGGGATAGATGATTTACAGAGAGGCCATACTTAACAAGGAAAGAAGAAGGTAAAATCCAGACGACAAAATGGACGATAAATAGCGTTCAGAGAACGACATTGGATTTATTAGCAGATTTATTATTGGATTAGCGGAAATTATGAAGATGTGTCGTGCAATATTAAAAGATAATAAACTCTACACTGATCGTGAAAGAAAACACCTTTTTCTTCAATTACAAACGGACCTACCGAAGTTTTTGCGGTCGGTCCGTGAAACTTGAGCTAAGTGAAAGTTGATATGTTTATTTTTTCGTTTTTTCGAATATAATTACAACAAAATAAATATAAACAGGCATTGAAATAAAAGATATAATTCTAATTTTTCCTAAATTATTACCGTAACTTTATTTTAAAGTTATAAAACTTTAAAATAAAAAAAGCTAAATTAAAATGCTATATAAGCAAGGATAAATAAGTGATCCTCGATTAGTTTTATCGAGTAAAACAGTTACGTCACGCCGCTTTAAAACCCTCATGACCAACTTCCTCGTCCCGATTTCGTTACGAATCGGAACGGTCCATTTCAAATCATAACGGAACAGGAAGCGTGTCCTGAAATTGCAATTGATAAGTTACGGCGGCGCTTATCGATTATATTAAGGAGAACAGATCATTAGGCCAAACTGGTTGCGTCTTTTTGCTTTTCGGTTTGCTTCTATTAGTTGGCGGTCTACCACGTTTTATTGGTGAACGTTGCATACTTATTAATTATTAATTTTCTATTCAGAATAAGTTTATATTCAAAATTCAGAATAACACACAAATATCGGTGCAGTCACGGGCATCCAGCACTTGATTATCCAGCATTCGGGATTATCAAGTGCTGGATTAATTGACTTTTACTGTATTATATTCTTACTTATTTAATAGGAATCAAGTAACAAATATAAATTTACATGCGAAGTTTGTGGAAAAAAATTTAAATTTAAATCAAAGTATAATGACCATCAATATTGCCATTCAGAAGAAAACAAGTTTAAATGCAAATTTTGTGAAAAAAAAATTTAAGCATCCGCAAACATTAAAAAAACATATTAAAGAAAAACATCCGTTAGAATTGGTAGGAAATACTATTAGATAATTAAAATATAAAAAATTTTATTAAATACTATATTAAAGTTTATAAAATTATAATAATATTTTTTCAGCAAACAGACAATCATTATGTCGTAAGTAAAAATTTTATAATAATTTATTATATACGTTATTCAGTTTTATAAAATTATATTAATATTCCTGTAGCAAACAGACAACAATAACAATGTAAGTAAAAATACTAAAAAATAAAAATTTTATTATATACTTTTTTAATTTTTTAAAAATTTTATTAATATTCTAGCAGCAAGAAGATAATCATTATGTCGTAAGTAAAAATTTCATTAATATTCTAGCAGCAAACAGACAATCATTATGTCGTAAGTAAAAATTTTATATTTTATTATATACGTTATTCAGTTTTATAAAATTATAATAATATTTTTGCAGCAAACAGACAACAATAACAATGTAAGTAAAAATATTAAAAAATGAAAATTTTATAAAATTGTATTAAGTACTTCTATTAATCTTCCTTACAGATGAACAGAAACATGTACATATATGTACCAGTTGTTGTAATGACACTGTTAATTGTTCTTCTTGCCATCAGACCTGACACGTCTGCAGAAACTATTCAGACAATACTGATTCTGTTTTATAAATTCTCTGAAAAACTATTAATTTAAATAATAATTAAAAAATTCTAAAACATTAGTATACAAAATTAATTTATTAAAAATTTATTTCAGAAATTGTGTTTTCGTATTATTGTTTAAAAATTATCAATGATGAATTGATAATTTTTTATTCACTTGTATTTAAAATGGTTTTATCATATTTTTACATTAATGTGGAAAAACTCTTATCATCAAAATTTTCATAAATAAATATTATAAAGTTATAGTTTTTATAAACCACAAAAGCTTACTTAGCAGAAAATAAAAACGTAATCGACACCTAATCACTCGCTTAGAGACTTATTATTAAAACAGACGTTTTCGGTCCATTTAATAGATCATTATCAGGCTAAATGAAACACTTCATTAAATAAAACAATAAGTTCAAAATTCAAAATATTAATATCCGATTAAAAGTAAATAATACTTGTAAATAATACAATTAAGCAAAAATAATACACATGTTGCTAATACTAAATATTAATACTGCTTACTTAACTAAACAGAGTTTTCTACATATCTTATTAAAGTTTATTAAAGATCAACCCATTATTAGCGAATTATTATTTCTATCTGTTGGCAGCCACTGTAACAGTCTTCTATATTGGCATTTATGGCAAAGGTTTAAAAATCGTAAAATATGGATTGATATATACGGGAATTTGTAGCAACATCGTTTTTATTTTTTCAACTGTTCTAAAACACAAATACCAAAAACAGTAAGTTAAAATTGTTTCTTGGAACAAATTTTGTTTACAATTTTCAATCTGTTTTCACTAGAATTGCACACTATATTTTTGCTATATATTTCCATTATCAATTAGAGTAATAAAAGTCAATAGAATTTATTTTATTTAAACCTGATAGCTAATGCAGTTAAGACAAATTTCTGCCTTTACTGATTTTCGAAACGGGTGTAATCCGGGGACAGATTCCATGGAATTTTTATTAATGTGTATCATTGTTACGTCTTTTTCTTACGTTATTCAGCCGATTCATTCTGGTCAAATCTAATACAATAGATTCGAATAAAATGCATTTATTGAACATTAGAATGACTTTCTAATATATTGTTTCTATACCAAAGAAAATTTTCGTGCATAAATATCAGTCGAAGTCAAATAGAAAATGCAAAAGAAAAGGAATAAATTCTAGACCAAAATATTAAACTAAAATATAAGAACCTTTAATCACAAACCAAATAAAGTTATTAAAAACTTTGAGTGACAGCAATTAAATACGATATATATATAAAGATATTTAATAGTCTAATTGTTACCAAATCTGTTATTATTAATCTTTTCAGGACACAGAAAATACACTTACATTAAACAAAGGACATCATGTTAGCAGTTTTGGCAGTGTAAGTAGTAAAAACACAATTTCCATAAACACACTTCTTACACCTAATTTTTCTTGTTATTCTTATCCATTATGGTTGTATTAGGGTATTAGCCTATCAATCTGTGTGACTAAAACAAATTAAATAATGAGATGTTTTGGGGGGTGATCTTTCACAAATATGCAGGACCAAAAATTAACTGCAAGTCCGGCATCCAGTGAGGACAATTCTGCAGAAAACAGCCACATCGAGTTACGATCGATGTTCTGACAAGGCTAACGTCTGAATGAGCGACATAGCGACCGTCAACAAACAACCGACACCTCTGCTACTAAGAACTGTGATCTACTGAACCAGGTCACTTCAAGGACACATCCAGTTGTGCTATCGGCACTAAAAATGCAGTTTTGAATGTTATGCGTCAAATTGTTGATCCGTCACACAAAATTTTTGTCAATCCAACTTTTGATAATTTTGTTGGGAAATTTTCTATTTTAGTCATAAGAATAAGGTAATCCCCATGTCTGTCTAGAGAAATTTAATACAGAGAGAGAGTAAATTCGAATGTTAAAATTATACTGTCCAAAAGACATATAATTTTAAAGAAAATGGAAAGTAGTGTGAGCCTGAGGGTTTTGAGGTCGTAAATTTTTGAGTTTAACATATTTTTACATTAAAAAATAAAAAAATAAATTTTTGCAAGTTATAACGAAAATAGATTGGATGTCGAATCTTACACATCCACGCGGGAGGAAGGAAGAAAATCAAGTCATCATCCGTTTGTTAATTTAGTCATCGTGCACGTGCTAATTAGTCAGCATAACAAGTGAACGACCTGTTGGCTCAGTCAACGATGATCATATAAAAACGATCGTCTCAGAAAGTTCAGAGCAATCGTCCCCTCAGTGCGACCGTCCCTCCGCACGATCATCAATAGGGTCTGATTACAAGTGTCTCCCGTCCCGATCCTGTCCGAGGTGAAACCGGTAGAAGACATAAGCCTGTGACAGACAGCCAGCTTCCATAGTCCAGAATGATCGTCGCATACCGTCCTCCAACATAAGCTATACTTGACCAAAAATATAACCCTCTCACTCTCGAACCTTTCTAAACTCTCACGCGGCATAGTGACTAGTTAGATCGCCATTATAGATAGATTTGTGTTATCTGCATCTAAGGAATAATCAGTAGCTTCTGTAAATTAACTTCAGTTATAGAATAAACCTTTATTTTGTTATTTGTTAAACCTGTCTCCTGTCTATCCGAGGAAACCTGCCAACTTACCGACGCACTCACCACTCGATTTGCCCTCTTAGCCATCCAATGACTCTGGTTGGTTGGTTGGTTGGTTAATTTTTATTGGCACAAAAGCCATGCAGGCTATACTGCGCCATGACACATGGTATGATTGAAGGTACAAAATACAGTAAATAAAAAAAAAACACATATATACCGAACAGTTTAACCATTAAAAGGCCAATGGTAATATATAAATATAATCTAAAATATAATAAATAAATAAATAAACAACAAAAAATATATACAATAATTTAAATATGCACCATGAAGTAAATAAAACTATACAATAATAAAATCATCATATTTCTCTATACATATTAATGACTTTCAGAAAGTCCAGTATATTATCCAGATTTGGCCTCTGGCCCAAAATGTCTCTAAAGCTTGCATTTCCGAAATGCTGTCTACAAATCTGATCAAAAGCAACACAGTTGCAAAATATGTGTTTAACACTTACAGCACAGTTGCAGTGCTGACATACTGGTTCGTCATCTCCCTTCAAAAGGTATTGATGAGTCAGTCGAGTGTGTCCAATTCTCAAACGAGTAAGGATAACCTCAGATCTCCTATCATATTGCCTATTATGTGTCCA